TACACGCGATCCTAGGGCGTCATCTAACTGACGCTAAAGGGCGCCTAAAGCGTCATATATTGAAGCATGTCCAAATGCTTCCCAAGGCGTCAGTTAAGTGACGCCTTGGGGGTGAGAATGGGCTGCATGGAAAGGTTTTTTTTTTATTTTCTTGCGGGCTTCCTAGGAATGTGTAATGGAACAAGGCAGGGTTTTATCAGCCAGCTACGTTCTTTAGGAAGGGTGGCTATGAAAGGAAGAACCTGGAGTGTCTAGTGGAAACAGTCTTTGGCAGGTTGTCTAAATGGAAATAATGGCTGTAGGGCTTACACGACTACTGGTCTGGAAGAGCTGTTGACGAGTCTGCTAGCCATTGTTTACCTTATATAAATTACTTTTATCTTGCATTATAAACAATCTTTGTGTGAAAGCAGTGATGTCTGAATGTCAGAGAAACTAATGGGTCTATATCTTCGTTACAAGATTCATGCCACTTGCACTGTCATAAACAGTGCAAAAACAGTCCTGTCCCACTCATTTATGGTTTTGGTCAGCCTTTGGCCAACACTTGTTTGGTTTCATGGATGTAGGCATAATTTAGGCTTGTGTGTCAATGCTCTAAATTAATTGTGGTTTTCCTTATAATAATTGAAATTTAAGCAATTATTTAATCAAATTGCAGACTTTCTATATTCTATACAAACATTTATATATTTCTATATTCAAACCAATCAAGTGTTGGCCCAAGGCTGACCCAAACCAAATAGCAGATTTTCTTATTTTATAAGATATACCATGGTTGCAGTTTTTTTTTAGATGAATCATGCAGGCATATGCTGAAGTTATGAGACCTATGTGAATTAAACAGTCTGTGTAAATATGCTTCTGTGTCTCTGCAGTACAAAAATGGATTTTATTGATATAATTTCAGGCCAGGAATCTTTGCTGGCAAAAAGAAAAGACTCAACCATTCTGGCAATATTAAGCACTCACAGTTCTCATCCGTTTAAAGATCTGCACCTCAGGACACCAAACCTAAGTCTTCCAAAGTTCATCTGCTCTTGAACTATTTTCTTTGAGGCTGGTTTCTCCTCTTCACATCTTCTGTCTAAAACCTAGTCCCACTTATTCCATGACATCCAGTAGTCATCATTGGCCCATGAGACCGGGGAACTTTGCACTATCCATCACTAGCTTCACTTCACAGTTGCACAACTCAGACATAAATCACAAAGACATACTGTATGAATGATCTGACCAGAGAAGTGATTGCACTCAATTTATTGCATTCTGTGGAATACAGATCACCAGCATCTTTGACTATAGAGTGGCGCCTACACTCTAAAAAATGCTGGGTTGTTTTAACTAAAACAACCCAGCATTTTTTAGAGTGTATAGTTATGACATCACTCTGTAGGCCAAAACACGGAAGTGAGTTAGCATTTTAGCACTACAGTTCCCTCGCTCTAAAGTCTAAGGGATTTTTGAATGGGTTTCTGAATTAAGGTCTGTGGTTAACAAAGCCTCTAAATATTTTCACGTTTTGATCAATTAAAACAAACAGTTATAACCTGCTTGTGTTTTTTTTTTTTTTTTTTTACTTTATTGTGTCTGCTTGTGTTTTTAAAAAACTTTATATAGGCTTCAAAATTAATTATATATTTTACTTGTAAAGATTATATTGATAAACAAAATGTGTAAGTGTCACAACTCTTTGTTGAACACAGATCTTATTTTTTGGGGATTTTCCAAAAGTGAATGGGGAAAATGCATTGCTTTTAGATCGAGGGAACCCATGGACCGCTAGCTTCCGAGTTGTCCTACAAAGTGACGTCATCACTTCAGCACTCTATTATAGGCCACTGTGACATCATCATCACTGAAAGAAAAGTTCCATTGAAAAATTCCATGACTGGAGTCAATAGAAACTCCCTTTATGTATAAATAAAAGGATTAAAGGTGGAAAACCTAAGATTTTTGCATTCAAATATACCAAAATCACAAGGCTATTGTTATATATTTAGTTATAATGATAACTCACAATATTCCAAATGTTTCAAACAATGTTTAAATCGCGAGAAAATTGAGATTTTAACCAAGGAAACGGGGCGTATGAGCAGGGGTGAGCTGGGAGTCGCCAGTCAATCGCATCGTATCCGCTTACCTCGGTTTCCGCTCGTACTACGTGTAGTCCTGGACAAATGCGGTAGTTGTAGTTGTGCGTTAGCGTCTATCAAGCAACAAACGTCAGCTTGTTTCGCGCATTTGTTATGGAATGGAGCACAATTATTCTTTTTATTTATTCTCGGAATGTGAACTGTTGGCTGTAAAGGGGGTCACACACCGGACGAGAAGCACCGCGCCACGTTTAGGACAAATCCACAGTAACGTTATCGAACACCGGACGCGCACTTTCTCATCAGTGTATGGCCAGCAATATTGTTATGTTTAATGACATGAAATGAAGATAATGTCTGTTCTATGTTATGATTGTACTGTACAATTAAATACAATCGTTGCTGAGTTTGCATTCTGAAAACTTTACCTCAGAGCATCCGTTCACTGAATGAATTGAGAATCTCACCTGAAAAATCTAATAATAACATCAGCAATTGTCATTCAAGCAGCTGATTTCTGTAAATGACTGCAAAACTAAATGCATATTGCAGCATAGGGCGAAGTCAGGATCCATTAGCAACGATTTGAGACAAAAAATAATTAAAATTTTATATAAAACTATGTAAATGGCGCTCTGTGGCGCAGCAGGATTTTGAACACGGTCCTGAGGCGTCGTTGCTGGGCGCCGCGGACAGACGCCGAATGGCGCTGCCGGTATGTGTAACGTTACACTTATAGATAATAATGTTAGATGTGGCGCGACGCGGCGCTGCAGCTTCTCGTCCGGTGTGCGACCCCCTTAACGTTAATTTTGTGAAACTGTAGCTATGGTTGAAAACTTACACGACATGAAAAGATGTGTCAAATGTACATTAAATTGATTTTTTATTTTTATAAAGTTACCAAGGAGGACCAGCCACGTCAACTCCTTGCAAGAGACCTGCCCCTTCAAACCCTCTCCACCATAGCTTCGTCCAGTGACTCGTACAGTAACTAATTTACTTTTAAACCTGACTTTTCTTGCGGTTATTTCAGTTTATTGAAAAACAAGCATGTCATTAAACGCAACGTTTATAGAAATCGAACTTTACCTCATCCATGACAACTAATTTTCGATTCCCATCTGACTGATTTATCCACGGTGGAGTTGAAAACAACAGTTCCCATCATTCCGCGTTCCTCCACGTCGTCATCAAGCAAAGCCGTTGTTGTTGTTTTGAATGTAGCGGCATCTAAATCTTAGGTATTGCAGCTTTAGCTCTACAATTTATGGTTTGACTAAACTTATCATCTTTAGGATGTTCGCTTGTTTCAGGTTTTACTGTTATGCATGCAAGTTTTTCATCTGATTTTCATGATTTGTAACGTCCATTTATGAGAACATTACAAGATGTAATTTTGTCAAATTTTGCAGAAGACATTTACATTTTTTGTATAGGTGAATGCAACTGATACATAGACCCACCAATAAAATAGCGAGAAATTTCTATGCCACAATGTTTGTGTACAGAACTGTGTTAAGGTGTGGTCACAATTACCATTGCTCAGTGAAATTCTTCTGGCGAAATCAAGTAATTTCAATCAGAATAAAACGGAACAGAAAGCTTCGTCTAAAGGCCTGTTCACACCGGGACGAATTTCGCGCGCGATATTCGTCGACATTTAACACCTCGTGACTAAACAATGGGCGCCAATGTGAGTGTTCACACCGACGTGAAAAACGCCACGCGTAAATGCGTCATTTTTTAAAAAAAACGCCTCGGGTTCGTTTTTTTGGTTTGACGCGTCGCGTCAAAAACTGTCCGACCAACAAAATTGGCAGTTTTGCTCACGTGTCTTGTACTTCTGAAGTTACAGTAAAACATAACTTGGGGGCGCTCAAACATAAAACGGTCTTGCCGAGCACACATACGGCGAAGAAGATAGCCTACAAGGCAAGATACCTATGGGCACGACCACCAGAGCCGTTAAATCTGGGCACGACGAATGTTGAGCTGCTAGTCTCGGAGCATAAAGAGCTATGATAATATTTATATTAGTATTTCTGAAATTAAAGTATAGTATAGGATGACCAACAGTCCTGTTTTCCCGGGACATATGTGTAACGGTCACTTTGTGCTTTATAGAAATCTGAGTTGATATGAGAACTGTGCATAGTGTGCATAGTGTCAGTCAGATTTTGACAAGTGAGGAGAGGAGAAAACCGCTCTGCCGACTCTTTGTATTCTTTCTTTAATTTATTTTAATTTTCTATTGCGACCAGAGTTGGATGTTTTTTTTTTTTTTTTTTTCTGGCTCGATCCCCATGTTTGAGTGGTTTTATTAAATGCGGAGAAATACGACAACTCTCGTCTCGTCTCTCGGGCATCTGTTCATCCGACAACTAGTGCTATGTTTTTATCTCCGGGCAACATTTCTACTTTGCGTTACATATCTTGTTTTCACGTCCTGTCCTGGCTGTTTTTAGTGATGAAAATGTCCTGGTTTTCAAAAAAACTGCTGGGAAAGATCAGTTCCGGACCAAACAAATAATTTATTTATTTATTTATTGGTACGGTTCGCTTTCACACTGCTCTTTTTGCAAGTGAACCAAAATTTGTAAATAAAATCACACGTGCTAAGGTCGTCCATTCATTCGACAAGGATTCTCAAGTAGGGAAATCAGGAAGTTCAAAAAAGGCTCATCAAGGCTGTATAAAAATACATACAAACAGCAATACATGCTGTATAAAAATACATACAAAAACAATAATAATGACATGATAATATGAAAAACGAATTCATTTTTTAAAATAAATATGAATAACTATTAAGATAAATAAACAATACAAAAATAAAGCTGTAAAGAAGACTGTTTCTGTCTCTCTCTTTATCTCTGAATGTTCGTTCTCACCTTTACTCAGATTAACCTACAGAGGAAGATGCGGGTCACAGGAGTGATAACCCAAGGTGCCAAACGCATCGGGAGCCCAGAATATGTTAAGTCGTACAAAGTGGCCTACAGTGATGACGGGAAGACCTGGAGGACATACAAAGTCAAGGGCACGGAGGAAGATATAGTGAGACATTTTTTTTTTTTAAAAGTCACTCAGCATGTGCTTTTGCTTCCCTCTATGCCAAATGCATTTTCCGTCTAGATTTTTAGGGAATAAATGAGAGTTGTCAGGGCCTCATAGGACATATGTTGTCCATCCTCTCAGATGCCGTCTTTTTATTAGACAGTGTCCATATCTCCTCTAATAATGTTGAGGAGTTGCCATTTTTATCATGTTTTGTTTTGTTTGGATTTTAGCCATTTATATCATATTGTATTAGCCTACATTATGTATTCTTGCACTAAACAACAGCGATAATTCCATCAAAATTTGTACATACCAATTGTTATCAGTATTCTCTTTTACATATACTTTGCATACTTATTGGGTAGCCACCCTTCTTTTTCATTTCCAAACATGAAAAATGTCAAAATTTATTTACCCTTATTTAATTTCAAACCTGTATGACTTTCAATGAAAGTCAATGGAAATGATATGTTCCACAGAAGAAAGAAAGCCATACAGGCTTCACAAGGGTAAGTCAATGATGACAACATTTTCAATTTGGGTGAACTAACCCATTCATTTTGTTTGGTCAATTATTTATTTATTTATTTTCTGCCAGAACCTAAGGTTTCTTTAAACACTATCTTTGCAAGCATTGATATCTCCTGTGATAAATGCAAACCTAGTCCAGTTTGATCTAGTTTCGACCATTTTAACTCAAACATTTTTCTCCCTACCTTCTCCCTCCAGATTTTCCGTGGAAATATCGATAACAACACTCCATTTGCCAACTCTTTCACCCCTCCTATCGAGGCTCAGTATGTGCGGATCTATCCGCAGGTGTGCAGGAGACACTGCACTCTTCGCATGGAGCTCCTGGGTTGTGAGCTCACGGGTGAGTCACCTCGGTAGACAGCATTCATCATTCTGAGAGCACATCCAAAGGGGACTGTAAACGGTGTTATACTTCTGAAACATTGTCCAGACTGTCAATAAAATGCAACACAACAGGGTTGAAGTCAGTTCTGTTTTCTCTTACCCAGTTCAGGGGAATTATTTTATAGGAAATTGAATGATACAAAGGCTCAACAATAATATATATATATATATTTTTTTTTTTTCTGTTGGTCCACTTGTGCCAGTAGTTTGGATTAATATTTATATTAATATTACATTATTTTTATATTACATTTCTTTCAAATATTCAGCAAAGGAACATGAATACGGGTCTTTTTAGACCCATGTTGTGCATTAGAAGGGTAGTGACACAAAAACGATTTTTATTCGAAAAGTAAGAAAGGAAAAATTAAAATGAGGATTTGTAATGATCTAAAACAAGTTAATTGAGGAATACCTGGCATACTGAATGATAAAATTAATTTCTTGCAAAAAAAAAAAATATATATATATATATTTCAAACATAAATCAAGAGCACACAATAAATCCACTACGATTAAAATAGGAAATTAATATGTTTAAATACTTGTTTTAAAAGCATGTAGGGACAGTCCTATCCCTGATCAATTGATCTTAAAGTACTGAGATGTGAAAAGATAGTAAGAGAATAATGCAGGTGCTAATCCATTCAAGGATTTAAAAAAAAAAAGTACAGAACACTATAAAATCTATTTTGTAATTAATTGGAAGCCAATACAAAATAAATTAAAAGTGGTTAGAGCCATGGCAGTGGCATTGTCTGCCTGTTACTCTTGATTTTTTTATTTGGAGCTAAACAATACATAAATGGTAGTTTACCTGCATTACTTGCTAAAACAATAACCAGGATGGCTGATCATAACACTAACCTGCATACATTAGCTTGTTCCAGCATGGAAGTTGATTTTTGGTGTAATACAACGCATTCTCACCCCAAGGCGTCACCTTTGACCATGCTTCAATATTTGACGTTTTAGGCGCCCTTTAGCGTCACTTACATGACGCGATCCTACGGCGTCATCTAACTGACGCTAAAGGAAAGCGTCAGTTAGAGGACGCGGTTAGGTTTAGGTGTGGGGTGGGGGTAGGGTACACGCGATCCTAGGGCGTCATCTAACTGACGCTAAAGGGCGCCTAAAGCGTCAGATATTGAAGCATGTCCAAATGCTTCCCAAGGCGTCAGTTAGGTGACGCCTTGGGAGTGAGAATGGGCTGTGTAATATGTTCTGCGAGCTAATGACATGCCTTTGAATCCTTCAGGGTGTTCAGAGCCAATGGGCATGAAGTCTGGCCATGTTCAGGACTACCAGATCACAGCCTCCAGCATCTTCAGAACTCTTAACATGGACATGTTCACCTGGGAGCCTGGGAAAGCAAGACTGGATAAACAAGGGAAGGTCAATGCCTGGACGTCTGGACACAGTGATCAGTCCCAGTGGCTGCAGGTAGGGTTTATTATAATGTCCTCATATGCGTACGAACAGTGTGCATGTTATTGCTTCTGATTCTACAGAACTCAACAGAATAGCTGCCAATGACTGCATGAAGAGATGAAATATGTGTTGTAATGAAAAGATCACTGCAGCACAGCTCAGGATGTAGTCTATAAAATAAAATGATCCCTAAAACAGAACCTAAACAAAGGTCCACACCTTATCATGAAGACAATATCATAGCTATCAAGCTCCCTGAAACAGTTTCAACAAAACCTTAGGTATCCCTTCTCCCTAGAGCATCTTCTTTCCACTTGCTCAGTCACTGTTCATTAAGGTAATCGATCAGGCTTTCAATCGATCTTGAAACCACTGTTATCGCATCATATTTAAGCATATTTCCTTTTAATCCTGACTTTAAATCACTTGCTCAAATTTTAATTAAACTATGTAGTATTATATATTGTATCTGCTTATCATGAAACGCTTATAATTTTATTTTTTCAATGTAATGTATTCAAGTGATGGCAAAACTAGATTTTTATTAGCCATTACTCTCGTGTCACTTCAGAAATCATTATAATATGCAAAAATTGCATTTACAGTGTATAGTGGGGCATGTGTCACAATTTGCATTAAACAAGGCTATTACATACAATTCAAATATTACAATTATTACGTAAAAGAAAAAAAAAATAGGGTTTGACCCACTTTTGCCTTCACAACTGCCTTATTTTTTTTTTTTCATGGAAATGATTCAACTAGGTGCTGAAAATATTCCTCAGAGATTTTGGCCCTTATTGACATTATAGCATTACGCAGTTGCTGCAGATTTGTCAGCTACACAGCCATGATATGAATCTCCAGTTCCACCACATCCCTCTATTCACCACAGTGCTCTATCGTTTTGAGATCTGGGACTGTGGAGGATATTTGAGTAAGTGAACTCACAGTTATGTTCAAGAAACCAGTTGGAGATCATTTGAGCTTTGTGACATGGTGTGTTATCCTGCTGGAAGTGGCCATCAGAAGATTGGTACTGTGGGCATAAAGGGGTGGACATGGTCAGTAACAATACTCAGGCAGGCTGTGACATTAATGATGCTCAGTTGGTACTAAGGGGCCAAAAGTGTGCCAAGAAAACATCCCCCCACACAATAATACCCCCACCACCGGCCTGAACCAATGACAAGAGGCAGGATGGATCCATGCATCATGTTGTTTACGCCAAATTCGGATCCTACCATCTGAATGCCGCAGCAGAAATCAAGACTCATCAGACCATACATTTTTCCAATCCTCTATTGTCTAATTTTGGTGAGCCCGTGCCAATAATAGCCTCAGTCTCCTGTTCTACAGCTGAAAGGAGTGTCACCTGGTGTGTCTTCTGCTGCTGTAGCCCATCTGCTTCAAGGTTCAACATGTTTTGTGTTCAGAGATGCTTTTCTGTAGACATTGGTTGTAAGGATTATACAAGTTACTGTTGCCTTTCTATCATCTGGCCATTGTCATCTGGCATCAACAAGGCATTTTCACTCAGAACTGCCGCTCACTGGATATTTTTTTTGGACCATTCTCCGTAAACCCTAGAAATGGTTTTGTGTAAAAATTCCAGTAGTTCAGCAGTTTCTGAAATATTCAGATCAGCCTGTCTGGCAGTCACCTAAATAATTGTTCTTCCCCATTCTGATGCTCAGTTTGAACTTGAGCAAAATGTCCTGACAATGGGTGTTTCTCAATACCAAGCACGCAAAGTTCAGTAATTCTGCAAATAGAACTGCAGTGTACAGCATCACTCTCTCTGGCTACTCTGGTTATATCTGTATATATATATATATATATATATATATATATATAACGAAATATATTATAAAGCACCACTCTGCCTCTTTTCATTAAAACTTTAAAAACATACTACTAATAGCGTGGTTATGGCAATAATAATAATAATAATTAAAGCTGCAAGCAGCATTTAGCGGGGTTCAAGCAGTTTAGGCCTTTAAGGCCTTTAAGCACAAAAGCATCAAAAGACATTAAGTTGTAAGTTTTAATAATGGCAATTTACTATAGGGTATACATTGTTTTTAATATTTTTAACAATTATAGCGCCACCTATAGTCCGATCTCCATGAAACTTTGCAGGCTTGTTGAATACGTTATGACACATATGCTCATCAATTTTTGTGAAGTTCTGACTTTTCCTTTAGGATTTATAGGCTTTTGGGTGCATTTTGTCATGCCCCCTTTTTTAATTGACCCTGTTATAGCAAAACAAATGACAAAGTTCAACTTTTTTGATAATTATTGATCTAGAGAGTCCAAAAAATTGTCCCAGACTGGTCTGGTTCCGATCGGGCAAAAAACCAGGGACTAGTTCGCAAAAGTACGTTTTTAACATATTCGTGAATATTTAACGAACGATTTGATTGACAGCAATGGTTCTTGAGGCAAAGTTGTTCAACATGAGGAGATCTATCAATTGATATACATATTGTGGGGGTGTGTGCAACACCACGTGATAACAGAGCCATAAAACTCGTTAGCGCCAACTAGTGGCCGATTTTTTTCAAAATTCTTACAGACCTCTAGGGCCATGAGTCGAACATGCCCATCGAGTTTCGTTCCGATGGGCCTCCGTTAACCTTGTCTCACAGGTGCTCAAACTTCATTGGCCGATGGCGGCCATGTTTTTTTACATACGCCAATGTCCTCATAGATATACATGGGGCCTTGGTCCAAGACACTGCATACCAATTTTCAAGTCAATCGGACTAACGGTCTTGTGGTCATAGCCCTTTTTATGTTTTTTTCATTTTATAGCGCCACCTAGTGTTCAATCGTCGCTATTTTTTTACTGTGACCTCAAATTGAACTCGTACACATGTGTACCGAGTTTGGTGAAGATATCTCATTTACTTCTTGAGTTATAGCCAATTTAGTAAAATAGGCTCCTCCCACAACGTTTATTTTGCTTCCCCTAGCGACCGGAAATAGAAATTTCAACATTTTTTTGATAATTATTGATCTTCAGACTCCAGAGAACATTTCTGCACTGGTTTGGTTCCGATCGGGCAAAAAACCAGGGACTAGTTCGCAAAAGTAGTTTTTCGACAAAATTCAAAATGGCGGAAAAAATTTCCATACTGGAAATGAATCGGAGATATACGTTTTTTTCGTCAGGTGACCAGCTTTCCAATGATATAAGACACTTGAGTGTACGACTTACGGTCTAGGAGTTATGAGCCGTTTCGCGCAATTAGTCGCTATAGCGCCACCTATGGGCCAATCGGGCTCATAATTTGATAACCTCTCCTCGATTTTTGTACTACCATCTGACAAAGTTTCAGAGCTCTAGCCCTTACGGTTTGGGCTGCACGATGCGTTTTAGGGGAGAATAATAATAATAATTAAAGCTGCAAGCAGCATTTATCGGTGTTCAAGCAGTTTAGGCCTTTAAGGCCTTAAAGCACAAAAGCATCAAAAGGCATTAAATTTTATTAAACATACATTTATCCAGTGACATAATAGATGGAAAACACCATTTACAGCCAATACAGGCAATTAACCATTGCAAATACATGGTTTTAATGCTTTTTAACAGATATAGCACCATCTATGGTCTGATCTCCATGAAACTGTGCATGCTTCTTTTACATGTTATGACACATATGCTCATCATTTTTTTTTTTGAAGTTGTGAGTTTTCCTTTAGGATTTATATACTTTTGGGTGCATTTTGTCACCTACATCTTGGATACCCTTGGGGTAAGCTAAAACATACGAAAAATTAATTTCAAAGTGAACTATCCCTTTATCTCCATTATGCTTGCTTACACCAGCAGGGTGCATTACTGTATCTCCTCATTGGCCTTCCTAAAAATACCATAAGACAGTTGCAGCTCATACAGAACGCCGCTGCCAGGAGTCTGAGCAGGACCAGAAAATATGAGCAGATCACACCAGTCCTCAGGTCTTTACACTGGCTCCCAGTTACATTTAGGATTGATTTCAAAGTATTATTACTGGTATATAAATCATTTAATGGGTTAGGACCTCAATATATTACAGATATGCTCACTGAATATAAACCTAACAGATCACTCAGATCATTAGAATCACATGAGCTAGATGTGACAGTTGTCAAAGTAAATGTGACAGTTGTCATAGTAATTTTGGTAAATGGACAGCATTTATATAGCACATTCATAGACCTAATGGTCACCAAAGCGCTTTACATATTGCCTCACATTCACCCATTCACACACTGACGGCGGTGTCAGCCATACATGGCACCATTCAGCTCGTCAGCTGGGGTTAGGTGTCTTGCTCATGAACACCTCGACACTTGGTCAGGCTGAACCGGGGATCGAACCACCAACCTTTCGGTTTGTAGACAACCTACATGAACCACTGAGCCACTGCCGCCCCTACCCTTTTTGACTAAATTATTGTGATTATGTGATTATTGTTAAACTAGTGAATTGATAAAGTCATAATATGAATTATAGTTGAGTAGTCATGACAAATGACAATTTTGAACAGCAGGGGGCAGTACAACTCCACTTATTGGCTTAATAGACCATCATGTTGATATCATGTTCACCTTTTTAACTGTTGTATAGGCATATTTTGTCCGATCTGTCTGAAAATGTTCATGATGTTTTAATGTCACGTGTTCTAACTTGTGTTTAACATCTGAGCATTCATTTCAAGGCTACATGTTGAAGCCATCGATTATAGGCATTCACATGAAGTAGTTCAACTTTTTCTTATAATAATTGATCAAGAGAGTTCAGAGAATTGTACTGCACTGGCTAACATTATAGGGTTAGGTGTCTTGCTCATAGACACCTCGACACTTGGTCAGGTGGAACCGGGGATCGAACCACCAACCTTTCGGTTTGTAGACAACCTACATGAACCACTGAGCCACTGCCGCCCCTACCCTTTTGGACTAAATTATTGTGATTATGTGATTATTGTTAAACTATTGAATTGATAAAGACATAATAT